ATATAATATGTGGTAAATAACCCCTAAAAATTATTTGGAATATTTTACTGCAGTGGATTATTTTTTTTTTTTCAAGACACAATTTCCTACGAGCTGAGAAAAAAAATGCGTTTTGTAAATTTTACTTACTTTGAAATGTAAGGCGGTCTTTGAGATTAAATACAGGTTGAAATATGGTTTGGGCCAAGAGAGCCCGAATAAGTCCATCTGGGGAATAAATGTACGAGTGTCTTTCAAATAAATTCTTTCTCGAAAACCTTCACCCATCACGACCAAATTAGACCGTAAGACGATCTCTGGAATTTTCGGTCAGAAGGAGTCCGCCCTTTACCTTTGTCCGCTACAGAATTCCAAGTCAGCTTGCGCAAACCGCCTACTGGTTAAATTGTTCCGCTTCAAGACAGACCATACGTCTGAGCGCGTCTCGCTGTTTGATATAAATCGCTATAAGTCTTTCCCGGCCCAGACACTCCACCAATCAGAATCCTTTGGAAGACAACCGTCGTTATCGAACAACCAATAAGAGCCTCGATGTGTAGTTCTCGAACAACAGGAATTAATCAAAGGAAACCGACCAAGGTTTGATAGGGGTGGTGTATAGCTTTGACTTTTTAAGAACTATTTTATAAAACCGTTTATATTTGTATTGAGCCTTAGAATATAATTCTTGTCAACTAAATGGTTGTGGGCAATATTCACATTTCATCACGAACAGGAAAAACAGAGAACTCCCTTTGAAATCCATTGGGAAAATATGTAGGAGATCAGAAAAGCAACATTGAAACTCCCCCTTGCCATTTTTTGTTTAAAAACAAGGGAATCAGAAAAAGGTCCATTAAATTAACCACTGGAATTTATTCTGTTCTGGGGTAAATTTATAAAAGGTTCAGGATTTATCTTTGTTTTTCATAGTACATTCATCATAGTACACAGTATCTTGATTTATTCTTACGTATTTATTCTCACCTCGTAATATGTGGGTAAAGTAAAGATTTTCTTTAAGGCCTGTAATTTAATTTCCATGTATATATAGATCACTTGTTTATATTTGATACATGAAAACCCAGACATAAATCGTATAAAATTTCCCCCTGGAATCTGTCGTGAATGAGTTTGGGAGTTCCGTAAATTTAATTGACTAAGTTTTTTTTTTAGATTGTCTAAATTGATAAACCGTAAACTACTCAATAAATTAATCACCAAAATCTATTCGTTGAGTTTTTGAGGTCTTTAAATGAATGGGCTGGTAAAATAATTTAACTTTTTCTCTATGTGAAAGCGAGAAAAAATGTGTTTGGAAATTATTAAGGTCATTTTCGAATTGATGGGGTAGTGGATTTTTTTAAATTAATTTTCAAATACAATTTCCTACAAGTGGACAAAGAACAAACGTATGAAGTTATTTTGAATATGTTAGGCCCTGTTTCTTGGGATTAACAGGTTGAATAAGGGTTTTGGGCCAAAAGGCGAATTCATCCGGGGAATAAAATTACGAGTATCTTTTAAATAAATTCCTTTGGGGCAAAGCTTGGGCTTCCAGTCAATGATTGACAGCCGACTTGCATTTGTAATACAGTGTATCTTTTTCGGAGATAAGAAGTAGGCCAGGGGAAATTCTTTTGAGGCGGCGCTAAAAGAGACCAAATGGCGCGCGAGAATTGATCTTTTAAACCCATTGGATGACGATCTTGTCACTGGGGCATTGGTTTTGCCGGGACTTGGGGTTTGCTGAAAACATGCGAAGCTGTGCTCGGTTGATTGTACTGGCGATCAAATGCTACTACACACGAAACCATCACCCTGCGGTTACCGTCTGAGGTGTGCCCTGTAACAAAACACTGACAACGAACAATAAAATCAGGAACCTATGAAAGTCAGAATTCTAAAATAAACAGCTTTTGTTTTTAATTTTAACGCTGTCTTTGTGACATGATTTTGGCAATAAGTATTACTATCATCCAAGACTCCCAAGTACTTAAAGACACTTTCTTTTTTCCCAAGGTAATATGATCAATGCCGACTTCAACATTCTCAGTGCGAGCAAGTTTACGAGCTGTTCCAAGTTAGGCCTATGTACATGTATTGCGCTTGGAGATACATGTATTCCGTTTGTTACACTTGAGCCACGAGTTAACTCGGCCACGTTCGGTGTTCAAAAGAAAAAGAAAACGTTTCCTGGTTTAGGCAAAAGTTTGTAAAAACTGTCACGGCGATGATGTGTCAGACGAAAAGAAAAATTATAGTCCTACAGTGTAACTAACTACATTGTATAAGATCATAAAAAATCATATTAAACACGTTGGCGAATTAAAGAAAAACAGCGAAAAAAAATTGGAGAAAACAAAAACAAATTTGAAACATCCAAATTAGAACACCAATCAACCCGGATAAAAATTCTAAGAGCAAAACAGTCTAAAGGCAATTAAATTCAAAACAATGGCATAAAATGGACAAGAAAAATACCACCACAGGAGAAAGAAAATTACATTTACTGGAACCTTCTTGTTTTCCTACAGGTGCTTTTCATATAACTTTCCACAGGAAAAACGTGTGAAACACTGTACTTGATAACTGGGTTTCTGAAATGAAGTGTACATGTAGTGCCCTACACACCCCATATTTAAAGAAATCATATTAACGCCACAACAGTTATATTCAAGAGTGAATTTTCCCCCAGAAATACCTACCCATTTATTGATCATGAATCCCGTTCTTCAGGTAATTACAGTGGCGAAAAGAAAATAGAACCGGGGTAAATTAAATAAATCAAAAGTAATAAATGTACATGTATCAGGTTATATAAATCAGGCATGCAACTGGGAAATCACAAAAGAAAGAGGAAATTCAAATTTTTCACAGACTTTGTACAGTGTTTTTCTGTGTTCAATGGCACACATGGGAAGTAAAAAAAAAAGGAGGAAATCAGCTGATCTGAGGAAAAGTTGCATGCCTGATAAATGGCGTATAGGTTTTTGCAGGCGAATCACAATAAACTGATTTAAGTAAGCCCTTCGCAATTTTTGTTACGCCAGCCACTGTTGCAAATTGTGCACAGAGTACTCAGAGCTGAGGGAACTGGCGTTTCGTCGATCCTGCAATGTGAGTTAAAGCTACGGAGTTTAACACCTCCGGTAAGTACTAGTATTGCAAGTGTTAAATTCGAATGCGATCTCCAACTCCGGACAGCACTGACGCCAATGTTTTAACGTAAATTGGGTCATTCATATGGCAAGGTAAAACACTTTGAAAATGTGCAGAACAATAAATTAACAAACAAATCACCCGCCGTCTTTTGGTTTCCAGACTAAAATCTGAGTAAGACATGCTGACGGCTTCCCCCAGTGAATTAAAACTAAAAACAATAGCGCAGTGCAATAAATTGTCCAAGCGCTGTCGTTACAGTTCACAGTACACAAATGTACATATAAGCCGGTACCACACACGCGCGCACCGTCGTAGTGCGTACTGATTTTGGCACAGTTTTACCGCGTGGCCCAGAAATGTAATACATTTGAGAAACCATCAATACAACACACAAAATGTCTGCGTGGTTAGCGCGCGGATCACGCCGCACGTTGTGCATAGATTTCAATATGAACACGGCAGTACATGTTGAGTCACTGTGGTTCATCGCAAATATGCACAAAGAATTTTGAAAATGCATATTGTTGTGATGGTTATTCGACGGACATGACAGAAATGGCAAAATGAAGGAAAGAAGTATTATTCCGAAGAACGAAATGAGTCTTTGTTCGGGACTGGACATTTCAAGTTTCCTGCATGGGAATAGAATATTTGGGACATAAATTCTCTGAAGATATAGGGAACAGAATATTCTATACCGAGAAAAACTAGGCGGGAAAAATATTCTCGCAAACCAGGAAAACACTATTATAACATGAGGGGGAAAGATCTCTTCGGACCCATATACGAAAAAAAATGATGCTGTGGTAAAGTTGCAAGTTTTCATTCATGTTTTTATTCAAAGAGGAATATGAACAGAGCCAGTTAAAAAAGGGCCAGTATCTTTCATAATAATCTGCTCTGGAGAATAAAAAAAAAACACTTCCCAAAGAATGATTGACAGCCAACTAATAGCAGTGTCGTCGGCAGCATGCCTCTGTTGTCCAATTGACTTCTCGAATTACATCCGTGTAGAGTTTCTTTGTTGACTAAGGGTCATGGTCTGCAGCCAATTAAAGTAGGAATTTGTGAGATGGCAAGATGTGATTGGTCGTCGTTTGTCGTTCTGACATTCAGCTTCGTTCCACTTGTGTTTGATTGGACGGCAGTACTGCCTTGGGAAGTATTCTTTCATAGAACTCGAGAAGGAGCCGACTTTTTTTTACTGGGCGGGAATTTTTAAGGTGTAAAAACTTGTGCCTCCTTGAGTTGACATCATTCAGCCGCCAACTTGCGGGAAATTAACGGCGCAAAGACGGCCGTCCCAGGCGCAAAGCCCAGCCGGTATTCCGGGGCGGTGTGCGGTCTGTCTTCCCCGGCCCCACGCGTGGGATAGTTTTCCCCGCGCGTGGAGCCGTGCGTGGAGCCACGCGTGGGACAAAGCGCCAAATCTGTTCCCGCATATTTTTCCCGCGCGTGATTATCGCGTGGAGCCGCTCTCCGTCTTTCTGTCAGTGCCCATGTGAAAAACACTGCGGCGTACACGCGATAACCACGCGTGATTAGCGCGATAAACACGCGGTAAACCTAGCTAGTGATAAAATGTAAATAGCGTGGTATGCGTGTTATCGCAGGAGTCTACATTCTTTCGCTCCACACTGTACATGTACATGTACCGGTAAAGGCACATCAGGTCTACCGTAGGTTTTATGTCTATGGGAGGCACACAATATGTACATGCCATCTTACAAGTGATGACAAGCGCCATCTGTTGTCCATGCACGGAGTCAATTGCCCTTTTTGTCCCTTCCTCTCAACCAGGAAAGGCATGCACACAATTATAGACTTATACCGGTACGTTTCTCCATCTGTCTCACCTTCATTAAGACAGATTCGCTGAGTTTTTCTTTGTTGATGATCTTGACGGCCACTTTCTTCCCAGTTACGCAGTGCACACCCAGTTTCACCAGACCTTAATTGAAAAAATCAGAACACCAACAAAACATATCGTTATCTCATTACACATTGTAAATAATGTCGGTCAATATTACAACATCAAAAGCAAACCCGCGGACATGTTGTCCCCCGCCCCCCTACCATGCCTATCGTATTGAGAGTCACATTTTATGTCACATTTACATAACGACTTTGGTGTCTTCAAAACCAGTTTTTCCTCATCCCTTTATCGGGGGAGGGGTGGGGTGTGGGAAAGGGGAAAGGGGAAACTTGGGATAGGGGTGGGGAGGTTTAAAACCTCTGAAACCCCCTCCCCCCCCCCCCTTTAACAGCAATATCTGCATGTACTTTTATTGTAGCATGTACCGTACCAGTAAGTTTATACCGTATGTTTGCTGCATACATGTTGGCATGCCTTTGACACGTATACCGGTATTTGGAAAACACCCCTCCCCCCCCAAAAAAAACTCAAAGCTCACCATGAACCCAGCCTATCATTGCCTATAGGCCTAAATCAGAGTTGGTCTTAAAGTTTAAAGGGAATGTACATCATTGGCTTTTGCTGTAATTTTCAGAAATGAACTATTTGAGAGGTTATAATAGATCAAATATTGTTACACTGACATTTTTGAAGTTTGGTGTTCGAAAAGGTTGGAAAAACCAAGAAAAACAAAAATGTTCAAGTAGTCTGGTTCCCTGACTCCACAAAAGATAAAATGAATCAATTTATAGATGATGGAAAATTGTAAGGCAAGGGAACCAGTCTAGCTGGCCTGCACCCGTTCATGAACATGTAACCAATAGCAAACAAAATTTGGACTGAAAAAAAATGGTAAATCTGGAGCAGTAGTGGAAAAATAGTTCGGTTTTTCCAACGCTGGTCGGCCGACCACCGTTGGCATGGTCGGAAATGTTTACAAAAATACCATTTTCTTGAAAATGACTTCACACCAGGTGCCATAATTTTACAAGATGCTTGAGACTGTCATTTACCAACATCCTAGTAAGGTATTTCGTAAAAACTTGGTAGTTTTATTTTTCGATGTTTGCAAATGTTGTATATTCCCTTTAATGTTTACTGAGTTAATAATCATCACAGAAACTGAGACACTGACATCTAGTCAAATCTACCACGTCTTCAGGTACAGTGTATGTACATAACCTGTATGCAGATAAACCTTACATCCTATGATAATAAGATGATGACCAATACACACATGTGCATGCTGTACGTATATATTCGGTAATAAGATATTACTGCTTTCGTGTTGAGATGAGAATTTCATCCCCGTGATTAGAAAACAGCGCACCTCGACTCACTCTCTACTCCTACGCAAGATTCCTTTGTCAAGAAAAAAAAGGGGGAACATTTTTTTAAAGTCTGAAGTGACATGTCATGAATTTTCACAACAGTAACTGAATACCAAAAAGCGAGATGTACAGGTACGGTATGATACAGTAACACATTGTAATACCATCACCGAGGATTAAAAAGAAGAAGATTTGTCATGAATTTAATATTTCTTTATTATTCTTACATTTTATGAAAGATTAGTAACCTGTAACACTGCGTGTACATGTACATGTTATACTTTATTATACACTGTACATGTAAAATTTTACTAATGTGCACATTACCTGACAGTGTATTTTTTGGTACAAATACCGGCATACATGTACAAATGTACATCATGCAGCCATGCAACTGACAGACATGCAACTGGGAAGTCACAAAAAAAGAGGAAATTCAAATCTTTCCAACACTTTGTACAGTGTTTTTCTATTTTCAATGGCACACATGGGAAGTAAAAATAAGAGGAAATCAGCTGATCCGAGGAAAAGTTGCATGCCTGAACTGAGACTTTAAAAAAAAACGAGGAAATTCCAAACAAGACAAGAATAATTTGAACAGTGTTTTTCAATTTGTAATGGCATTCATGAGAATTTTTTAAAAAATGAGGAACTCAGCTGATCCAAGGAAAAGTTGCATGCTAGTACCAGTACATGTGTAAACGAACATGTACATGTATGTAGACTAGAAAAACAAACTTGTGTTTGTAAATAAATACCCCCCCCCCCATAAATCCACCTTATTCTGCAATGTACATGAATGAATTTGGAAAATTGAAAAATTACAACAACTATTAGTTGGTGTAATTTTTCAATTTTTCAAATTCGTCACGTTATCACAATCAAACATGTGATGTAATTTAAAATTACATCACATGTTTGATTGTGATAACATGACCAATGTGAAAAAAGTTGGCTATTTTGAAGGCAGTGTGTATTTAAAGGGAATGTACCGGTACATCATTGGCTTTTGCTGTAATTTTCAAAAATGGACTATTTGAGGGGTTAGTATAATACATGTAGATCAAATATTGTTACACTGACATGTTTGAAGTTTTGTGTTCGGAAATGCTGGAAAAGCCAAGAAAAACAAAAATGTTCAAGTACTCTGGTTCCCTGACTCCACTAAAGATGAAATGGATCAATTTATAGATGCCGGAAAATTGTAAGGTAAGGGAACCAGTCTAGCTGGCCTGCACCCGTTCATGAACATGTAACCAATAGCAAACAAAATTTTAACTGAAAAAAATGGTAAATTTGGAGCAGTAGTTGAAAAATAGTTGGGTTTTTCCAACGGTGGTCGGCCGACCACGGTTGGAAATTTATACAAAAATACCATTTTCTTGAAAATGACTTCACACCAGGTGCCATAATTTTACAGGATGCTTTAGACTGTCATTTACCAACATCCTAGTAAGGTTTTTCGTAAAAACTTGGTGGTTTTATTTGTTGATGTTTGCAAATGTTGTACATGTATATTTCCTTAAGTTCAGCGTACTCATGTACATGTAATGGTACAATTTCAACTTACACAATTATACATACAGGTATACACTTGTACACCTACATGTAATAAATTGAACCTACCGGTACACACCTACCGTACTGAGGGTAATAAATTGCATAAAATAATTTGTAATACTGAACATACTCCTGAGAAATGCTAGGCATTGTAATCATGGTACCGGTAGTTAGTTTCAGGGCCTGAAATACATGTAGTTTGTGTTGCAATACAGTGTGTTATTGGTCTTCTCTCTACTAAATTGTAAAATATACATTACGTACATTTGATGCCTTCTACCCAGTACACTTCTACTTCTATGCAGCTACTCGTTTACAGCCTTTTCAGCAACTTATTGTTACCGGTACAGTATACATGAAACTCAAGTGTCTTTTACACTGACAATGTGATTTTATTTTATTTTACAGTGCACCCAATGTCCACTACGCACAAAATGTATCAATTCAGAAATTACACACAAACAAATGCACAGTTGTAACTGTACGTCATGAGTTTACATACCGGTATGTAAAAGAATTCATTCCTGTTTTTAATAAAATATAATTTGTTAAAAAAAATTTTTTCGGCCTCTGAAGAACTTGTTAAGTTCGCAACGACAGGCCGCATTAATTTTTGGGATTTGTATATATTTTAGGTCAATCCAGTCAATAAGCAGTTTGCATTCATTTTACTTGATGTATGTATACGTGTATAAATACGCCTGTACACATGTACATGTAGTACAGTCATATTACAGTAAATGTACCACAAATGAAAATGTTTTTATTATAATAAAATGTATAATTCTACAATGTAAATTTATATTTATATAACACAATTGTAGTGACGCAGTGCAATGCACATCTTAAGCACGTTGAGGTCCATTAAAATTGGGTTCATCAATTAAAATGAGATTGTATCGATTGCGGGCCGTAACGCGAACGTTACAGTGGCGCACACACAGTGTGTACATGTAAGTATACTGATACGTTGGGCCATTTAACGCACATACGTAATACAGTCACACACACCGAAAAAAGATTGACCACTAGTCATCATCGGGCCAAGGCCAGTTGGAAATGTTAATACGTTTACTGTATAATATCGTTCCAAACCAGCACAATAAGGTCGTTAGATCTCAGGAACAGGTCTGGATTAATGCGGGATGAATACATTTTTCTTAATTTATCGAAAAACCAATATCAAATGGTACCAAGCATCTGTACATGTAAAAAGGGCTGAGAGTTATAAACATGCCTGTATGTGCACAGCATACTGGTACATGTACTGTATGTACATGTATGATGTACATGTACATGTACATTGTGTACTGAAAAACATGTCTACATTTGTACATATACTGGTTGTATCTTTTACAGTCTTTGCCATGGTTTTTTTTTGGGGGGGGGGGGTGTGTTATACATTGTACATGGACATGTAACAAACTTTCACTAAGAATATGTAATCAGATATTTCCTTGTCAATTAATTTCATAATGAAATCAAATTCAGCCCCTTGCTCATCACCATCATCACCATCATCATCATCATCTTCTTCATCATCCTCCTCATCTTCATCATCATCGTTCGGCTGCTCTACATGTACACGTGGTCGACCCCAAATTTCTTCCAACAACTACTGTACTGTACTATCACAATCAAGGTTGACATTGCCTTGGTTGGAGCACATTAATTGTCCTGATCATCCCATTCAATGTGCTTGAGACATTTGTATGTAGTTGTTGTCAGTCATCTTGCTCTTTTTCTGCCATGTGATGGAACATAATAATACATGTACACGTAGCAGTGGTTCCCCTGCCCATTCAAACGTGAGGCGGCCCACCTCGCTACTTTCAGTGACCACCTCGCTCAATTTTTGCCAATATCACCACCTCGCTGTGAAGATTTGCAATAAAGGAAATACTAATCGACACATTTTCATTTTGTGTAATTTATGAGCGTTTTCCTTGACCTTGATGTATCAAGAACTCACAATTTGGATGTGTAAATGGAATCATCTCGTATTTTTGTAAGGGCAGCATCCTTTTGAGCTCGCAAACTGTGTCAATTTTATTTCAATCATCAGTTTGAATGTTTACCACCTTGCTCATTTCATTAACCAGGGGAAACACTGATCACGTAGAGAGTGTAGGGCCTACATGTACC